TGTTTTATTGAAGCTAAATTTTTTGATAAGTCTATGGCATTTGATTGGGAATCGGAGGATGAAATAGCATTAACTGACTACGAAGAAGATGAATTTGATCCCATATTTGAAGAATATGTGTTACACGATGATGATGCTAGCTGCCATGGAATTTTAGATGATCAGGATATTTGTAATCAGATAAGATTAGAGTTGGAAGGTTTAATTACTTAAAATTTTAATTAATCTTATTTTTTATAGAAGGTTATGAAAGCTCCAAGAATGACGAAGGGAACCTAGAGATATCTGATCATAAGAAAGCTAGAGAATATAGTGGAAAAAGAATTATTTACTCCAGAGTCTAGCCAAACTCTTATCACAAAATATTTTTATTAAATCTTATATTACTTTATAATAATTGTGATACATGTATAATAAAATTAGTTCAAATAAAATCTTATGTTATAAAGCATTAATAAACTTTCATTCCAGCATGGTCTGTTAATACATTTACATTTATAATATTAGAATTTATAAGATTTGAATAGGCATAGGATTTTAAATCAAATATCATGTGAATGAAAACAAAACACTTAATAAACTTAAATTCTTTTATATTAATCTTATTGTTTCCAGTTTTTTAGGCAAAATATTTTAAAATTTGGCTTTAATAATAAATTAGAATTTAAAAAGTGATAATATATTTGTGTAAAATTATATTTCAGTAAATTTAATGAAGGTAAAATGACAAAAGTAGTTAAAATTAATGGAAATAAATATTAGGGTATTGTAAAGGAAAAAATGTTATTATCTTTCATAAAAGCTTTTTTTTGCTTTAATTCTTACATATCTTAAATAAAAAATGAGATAAAATCAAGTAAACAAATTTAATTATAATTTTATTCAATAAAAAATAATTTATCAACAACTATAATGCTAATACATAAATAATTACAATCTTTTTATAATTAAGTCTTGTTTTCTTTGTTCCTTTCTGTCTATAATCATGTCTAGATCTAGAGAAAGTATATATATCAAAATATATCACATTACTTTCAAGTGCTTCAGATATTTTAATATTATTTGATTGATCTAAATTAATTGAATACTTTTTATAAAATAATAACTTGATGATTTGACGATAAAAATATAGGATTATTGGTGGGAAGAAAAAAAAAGCTATGATCATATGTTTCAACAAATAAGATAAATTTTTAAAATTTAGTTTTTTTATTCGTTACATAACTTATTCAAATTAAAATATATAGTTGGTTACATTAATTAAAAATTGTATTTATTGCAAAGTTTGATGGCTTATTTGATTAAAATATATATAGATGATAAATATCTTTATAAAAAACACAAACTGATTTTTAATAAATAAATTGTTGAATTTTAATCGTATAATTGCGAAAAATCGGATAATTGCGAAATTTTTAAATATTTCGGTCCCAAGCTTTCGCAATTAAACGGTTTTGACTGTAAAGGTATTAATCAATTACCAAAACCCCCAATTAAAATAGGTATAATGGCAAAGAAAATTATCACTAGGGCATGAGAGGTAACAATCATATTCTGATAATTATTCTTAAGGCAGTTCCTAAAAATACAGACCAGAATCCAAATATAAAATACCAATATCTTTATGTGAGATAGATGTAATTCATCGCATATTATATATATTTAGGATCAAGTTATATTTTAATTTAAATTATAACTTGATCCTAAACATATAATATGCGATGAATTATATCTACCTCATGTTTTAAAAAGTAACTTTTTTATATTAATAATATTTAGCGAGATGATAGTTGAGAAGTTATAGAGGGAGTATTCTTTTATTTGCGAATTTTTTTTAGGGGGAGGGGGTATATAGACAGCGTCTACATGTCAGGATTTTCATTGGATTCCAGCCCCCTTCAAAAACCTTTGCCTAACCTTCTAAAAAATTACCGCCGCCTGGCGGCGGTGTCTTTTTATTATTATTTTTACCTATTTAATTTATTGATACTCTTTTCAAAGAATTTATAAAGGATAACTTAAATTAATCTATCTCTACTACCATCTATCGATATTTTGTGAGTATAAAGAATTTATTTTTTAGATAATAAATTCAATTAAAACTCCCATAATTTACAATGAATTAATTATTATGGCATTATGAGCTTGCTGAAATATCTAAACCTTAAATTACATTTAAAAGGATAGTTTATTTGGAAAACAATGTGTATGATTGTTTGCAATATATAGATTTGGTCGATGAATTGTATTATAATAATTCCATAATAAAAGTATTAATTTTTACAGCAATAAATTTTGTCTTATTTCATCTCAAGATTTAATAGACAACCCCAAAAATTTTTTATCCTACCCTTATTAAAGCAGCTTACCACCCACCCCCTCAAAAAATGGATGCAAACTGTTCCTACCCCTCCCGCTCATGTAGACGCTGTATATAGATTTATGATAGATATCTACATCCAGTGAAAATCTTGTCATGTAAACAAAAAATTTACTAAGTTATGAATAAGTAAAATAAAGTATCATTTCAATCGAAACACCAAGTATATTGGTCTTTTTTATCAATTTTATATTAAATTTTTTATTAACAATATATCTACAACTATTTTAAATTTAATAATATATATTTATTATGATTTTATTAAATCAGACACTTTATCAATAAAAAAAATAAATTAGAAGTAATATCATATAATGCTGTTAAGTTTACAATTTTTTTATTAATCATCACATATTTTTTATTTTTCTCCGTAACTATTTCCCCGTTATTGATTTGTATAACTTTAAGTTCTGTCAGGCGTTGGTTATCTTTTAAAACGCGAATTAATGAATATATGTCCGGATGAGCATTTTTTGCCATTCGCTTGAGGGAATGGTGATATCCTTCGAGATGATTATTACTGCGAGGACCTTGAATCTTATACCTAACACCAAACAATGTATTAAATGTTAAAAATATTATAAAATTTTATATGAATTGTGAGGAATTAATAAAAATGAAATAATTACCTGGTCCAAATTTGATGAGGAAAGATTGCATCAGAATTTATCCAGGTAGTATCCATATATATTAAGAAACTTAATATTAACGGGTCATTGGCTGCTAGATCTACACAAGAATCACAGACCACTTGAATGTCCTCTCTCTTGCATAAAGGTAATACACTCATCCTTCGAACAATAGTGTATACAGCAGTCTCTTCTTTATACTGCTTGACTAAACCTAAATGCTGAACTTTACGCCAAATGGCCTGCGTAAAGTGGAAGAAGCAGCCTAAAAATAAATTATACAACTCTATATAATTTAAACTTTACCCTTTACTAAAATATTGGGAAATACAAATTGTAGAGCAGATATCGCTCCTGCTTCATAGTCGGTTTGTGCCATGTCTGGTGAAAACTGGATACCATTCAATGTCCCATATTCCACGATTATTTGAAATAGCTCAATATATGACTCCTTCCTCTTATCTGGAAGAAGTGCATATATGATAGGGATCATCGTTTGATTATACATGATATGTATAGTATATAATTGGCTAAAAAAACGTGGACATGTGTAAAAAGTCCCATCCATATAAATGAATTTTGTATAGGAAGATAAACTGACTAACATGACAAAACCAAATACAATAAGTTTGTTATTATTGTTTTTTATTAAGAAGCTATCACCACTGAATGTTGTTATCAATTCAGTGGTCAATACAATTGTATCATTGCTAATGGGAATATTTGGCCTGGTTTGTTTTAAAATACGGTTAATCGTATTTTTAAAGGAAATAAAAGGTGGTAAGGCTCCTGGATAATTGATTATATCTGGATCTTCAGAGCATTGTTGGTTTAATGCCTTTAGATAGATATTCATCCTTGTATCTAAAGGATTTTGTTGTACCGTTGCTTTTACTGTTTGCAAAGTTTTTAATTTGTGAAAAAGTATAGCATGATTTTGATGTTCATGCATTTTGGATATTGTGTATCCTTGAATATATTTACACGTCACTTTACAATCAGCTTTTAGACAACGGTAGTAAATTGTATTCCTGTATGTACCGTTATAACGGTAAAGAAAATTTTAAAAAAAGAGCAATGATTTGCCCTTTTGGCTATCGATAAATGTTGGTTCCTCTAAAATATAAGAAAATTTTTACATGTTTATATAGAAATTTACCAAAAATATGTATATTTTCATTAAAATCTATTAGAGATTCTGCAAATCCATAATTATCCATATTTTCTAAAAAATAATTGCCTATATATATAGTGATATATATTTTCATTAAGAATTATTACTTTCTATTTCTGAATTAAGAGATGTATAGAAATCATTTGATATGTTGGGAGCATCTATATTTTATAGATTAAATTGATTTGTTATAAAAATGTTACTTTGAAAATCAGGAATATATGGGGGGATATATGAGCAAAGAGGGGATGAGTAAGCTGAATGACTTTGAGTATAACCTATTTTAAAATTTGTGTTTAGATAATGGTTATATAATATGTTGTACCTAAAATTATAATATTTATTTAAGATTTATAATTTTTAACTTGGATTTGAGAGGGTCAAGGATTCTCCATGAGATTGAGAAGATATTTGAGATACATCTAAATGATTTTGAGTTTATTGTTTTATAATTATGTAATAAAATATTTTTACCTTGAAAATTTGATCTCAGTTGTTCTAAGATAATGTTTGATGATAAAGGTGAAGCATCTAAAATATAATAATATATAATTACAATTAAGTTTTACTTTGAATTGGTTTACAAGTGTCTAATAAACTCAAAATCATATAGATGTAATCAAACATCTTCTCAATCTCATGGAGAATACTTGGCCCTCTCAAATCCAAGTTAAAAATTATAAATATTATTAATTAACTATAAATTAATAGATGTATCTCAAATATCTTCTTAATCTCATGGAGAATCCTTGAACCTCTCAAATCCAAGTTAAAAATTATAAATAATATTAATTAACTATAAATTAAATAGATGTATCTCAAATATCTTCTCAATCTCATGGAGAATCCTTGACCCTATCAAATCCAAGTTAAAAATTATAAATAATATTAATTAACTATAAATTAAATAGATGTATCTCAAATATCTTCTCAATCTCATGGAGAATCCTTGACCCTATCAAATCCAAGTTAAAAATTATAAATAATATTAATTAACTATAAATTAAATAGATGTATCTCAAATATCTTCTCAATCTCATGGAGAATCCTTGACCCTCTCAAATCCAAGTTAAAAATTATAAATCATATTAATTAACTATAAATTAAATAGATGTATCTCAAATATCTTCTCAATCTCATGGAGAATCCTTGACCCTCTCAAATCCAAGTTAAAAATTATAAATAATATTAATTAACTATAAATTAAATAGATGTATTTCAAATATCTTCTCAATCTCATGGATAATCCTTGATCCTCTCAAATCCAAGTTAAAAATTATAAATATTATTAATTAACTATAAATTAATAGATGTATCTCAAATATCTTCTTAATCTCATGGAGAATCCTTGAACCTCTCAAATCCAAGTTAAAAATTATAAATAATATTAATTAACTATAAATTAAATAGATGTATCTCAAATATCTTCTCAATCTCATGGACAATCCTTGATCCTCTCAAATCCAAGTTAAAAATTATAAATAATATTAATTAACTATAAATTAAATAGATGTATCTCAAATATCTTCTCAATCTCATGGAGAATCCTTGACCCTCTCAAATCCAAGTTAAAAATTATAAATCATATTAATTAATTATAAATTAAATAGATGTATCTCAAATATTTTCTCAATCTCATGGAGAATCCTTGACCCTCTCAAATCCAAGTTAAAAATTATAAATCATATTAATTAATTATAAATTAAATAGATGTATCTCAAATATCTTCTCAATCTCATGGAGAATCCTTGACCCTCTCAAATCCAAGTTAAAAATTATAAATCATATGAATTAACTATAAATTAAATAGATGTATCTCAAATATCTTCTTAATCTCATGGAGAATCCTTGACCCTCTCAAATACAAGTTAAAAATTATAAATCATATTAAATAACTATAAATTAAATAGATGTATCTCAAATATTTAAAGGTGAAACATCTAAAATATAATAATATATAATTACAATTAAGTTTTACTTTGAATTGGTTTACAAGTAAAAAAATTTAAATGTAAATAAAATTTTCATATCTATAAATTATACATACTTTAATATCTAATTTCCTAAGCTTAAGTAAATTATTTATGTTTTCTGCTACGGTTTGAATCTTCATTTTTTAAATAAAACACTAGTAGCCATCTTTGGGATTTTCACTGGTAACAAAATTGGGAACATCCCATTTTTTAGCGATTTTTCGTTTAGCGATTTAGAACCGATCCCAAAAATGGTAATTTTAAAATTGATGCTTATTTAATATATTTTTATTTAATAGAAATTAAGATATAATTTAGAACTAAAAGATTTTTCTACTTTAAAACAGGTTGTGAGTAATTAAGAAGAATAATCATCAGCTCATTATTCTTCTCAAAAAGGATTAATTTCAGATAAAAATTCATTAGTTTTACATGAATGGGATAAGAATATAATGAAAAATATTAAAATGCCCATAAAATACAAACGAGGATCAATACAAAAAAGGCCTAAAAAAATGCAAAAAAAGAGTATTATTTAAAAATTATATATATTTCACAGTTAGCAATTTTTGAAAATGATATTATAATATACATGTATTTTAAAAAAGATTTTTCCCAAGCTAATCAAAATATGACTGAAACGATTAACCTACCACATTCCAATACAGAAAACACTCAACTATATGGTATCACTAAAAATTAAATGTTTATTGTTTATTAAAATACATTAGCAGTCAAATTATCTTCATCTCAAATTATTTCAAAAAATATGTTTGGCACTCAAGTTAAGATACCAGAGAGTAAACATTTTACTCAACAAAAAAATAGCAACAAACTTATATTCCCAATATCATTTTCAAAATATACCAAAAAATTTAGGCCCTCAGTCAAAAACTATTCCAGCTAGTATATTTTGTGTTTTAATTTTTATAAAATATAAAATAAAAATAGCATTCGAATTCTCTTCATCTCAAAATATTTCAAAAAATATATTAGGCACTCAAATTAAGCTACCAAATAGTAAACATTTTTCCTTTATTTTATATAACAAAAATTATAGCAACCAAAACTTTAGACTACACTGGATATTCTCTTCAAAATCTTTCAAAATTTTTTTAGGAAACCATAAATAAAACAAATAATTATATATTTAGAATGTTTATATTAAATTTAAAAATATATAGGAACCAAATACAATCTAATAGAGCTTCCAGAAAACAATACAATCAAGATTTCAAAAACCTAATAAAAAGCAATTTATAATTTATATTGTATTCTAATATATCAAATTTTATTTCTGTATATATATTTACAATTATAATATATTATTGTATTTTATAATACATAATTTTAATTATATATATATAGAATTATAATATATTATTGTATTCTTACAAATTTTATTTCTATATATATATTTTCAATATATTTCTAAAATATAGAATAAAAAATATAAAATAGATTCTTGTGTTATAAATAACAAACATTCAATATTTTCGACAAAAAAAACAATAAAAATAATTCTTTATGTTAAATTATATTGTTTAAGATATATTCATAGGAGGATTCATAGAATAGTTTTTTGCAATGCCTGATCACCATTAAAAATATTATAAGAATTACACAATATAATAAATATTAAAATAAAGTAAATTTTTAGGTTTGAATGATTTAAACAAAGTATAAAACAGATTGTGAAAATCCTATAAATATAAATATTAGGAGTAACATAATTAGCAAAGTTATAATATTAAGAATTATTTGAAACAATTTATTGAATAGATCAAAATTTGAAGCCTTTCCTAAATTTTCAATGACATAAGAATAAGCTGTAGACATTGATGTTCATGTTTTTCACAAGTCCCTTGCAATTTATTTTAGTATCTTTCAGCCAATTTATTTTTATGTTATGTAAAAAAATAATAGCATATTTGGGATTTGATTAAGAATTCTGTCACCATGTCTTAATAAGCTAACAAAAATATTTTACTTTTATACATAAAATATCAAACTGAATAAATATTATTTAGTAAATTTTGATATTACATTCACCTTACGATTAAAATAAAAAATTGTATTTATAAATCTTAGAACATTAAGCTTAGGCCATGCATCTATATAAATATGAAAAGCATAACAAGTCTGGTGTACCAGGATATATAGGTTGTTTTACTTTATTAACATTATATGACAAAATTGCATGAAGGTTAATTTATATAATGAAATATTACATTTTTAATAGTATCAAAAGATTATAATAAAAACCTAATACATGATTAAATAAGACATTCAATTAATCCCATTAATTGACCCTATTGTTTGGGAATATTGTTAAATTCCTCAACATCTATAAAAAATTAACAATTGGAATATAAATGTTTTAAATATAATAATTTTATAAGGTATTCTTCTCATAATTACTCACAAACTATTTTAAAGTAGAAAAATCTTTTAGTTCTAAATTATATCTTAATTTCTATTAAATAAAAATATATTAAATAAGCATCAATTTTAAAATTACTATTTTTTCCATTAGATAAAAAAAATACGTAAAAAAATTTATTAAAATACGTAAAAAAAAATTTATTAAAAAAAATAATAAACAACTTTTTTTTAATATTTGTTTGTTAAAGAAAAAAAAACAAGCGTGTTGAATAAAAAAATAAAATAATTTATATGACACCATTTATTGCTGTTAAATAAAGGCGTTCACATTTGGTAGACTGTAAAGTTACTTGCAATATATGTCAAAACTGGCTTCATGCCAGAAGGAAAAATATAGGATCTTAAAATAGTTATAAAACTTAATATCAAAATTTATCGCTTTTTTGTACCTTTTCAAATATCGTGATCTTTTGCAGTCAGTGACTTTTTGCAATATTAGTATCTTTTCTCAAAATCACTCTTTTTTTAAAATAATAGTTAAATTAGTCATATTTGCAAAATGAAACTGTCTTGGGAGTACGAAAAACTTTTATCTTGGGATTTTAACTGCTTAATATTTTTCCCTCCAACCCTAAGTAGAACCCATTTTACAGCTGGTCACAAACTGAGGTACCTCGTGATTGTCTTTTTATCCCAGTTATAGCTAGCTGCGACTTCTATAGCGGGAATAAGATCCAAATATCAATAAAATCTCAGGTGGAGAGGTTCAATTTTTTATATTAAACTCCCTTCGTACTTAGGGGCCTAATTTTAATATTTGCTATTCCCAATAAAATTTATATTATATTACATTGCAATTAATCAACTAGGTGATTTCAATTATATTCTACAATATAATATATAACTTGCTTTCGAATTACAGGGTTTCCCATTCAAAAAAGGAAATTAAAAAAGGAAAAGGTTCAATCAAAAAAAGGAAAAGGGTTAATCACGAAAGGAAAAGGTTTAATCAATAAAGGAAAAGGTCTTAACAAAAAAGGAAAAGTGTCAATCAAAAAAGGAAAATTCCCAAAAAGAAAGGAAAAAGTCCGATCAAAAAAGGAAAAGTGTCAAACAAAAAAAGAAAAGTTCAATCAAAAAAGGAAAAGTGTTAAACAAAAAAGGAAAAGTGTCAATCCAAAAAAGAAAATTCCCAAAAGGAAAGGAAAAGTGTCAATCAAAAAAGGAAAATTTCCATTCAAAAAAGGAAAATCGTAATTTTTTAAAAATTTTTTAAAAAAAATTATAAATTTTTCAATTTTTCTTAAATTTTTATTTATTTTTGTCATTCCTTCTTATTTTATTTCTAACTTTTTGCGATTTCTTTACTTTATTTGTACCTTTTCTCAATTTATTTTTCTTACTATATCTTTTCTCAATTTTTTTTCTCTCATATTTGATACAGGGTTTCCCATTCAAAAAAGGAAAAGTCCCAATCAAAAAAGGAAAAGTTTCAAACATAAAAGGAAAAGGTCCAAACAAAAAAGGAAAGGTGTCAATCAAAAATGAAAATTCCCAAAAAGAAAGGAAAAAGTCCGATCAAAGAAGGAAAAGGTTCAATCAAAAATGGAAAAGTGTCAATCGAAAAAGGAAAATTCCTAAAAGGAAAGGAAAAGTGTCAATCAAAAAAGGAAAATTCCCATTCAAAAAAGGAAACTTAAATTTTTATTTATTTTTGTTATTACTTTTTAATTTATTTCTAAATTTTTGCGATTTCTTTACGTTTTTTTTCTTACTGATCTTATCTCAATTTATTTCTAACTTTTTGCGATTTCCTTTACTTTTATTTTTCTTACTATATCTTCTCTAAATTTATTTTTCTTCTCATTTTTGATAATTCTTTTGTATTTTTAAAAATAATTTATAAATTTAGGTCCATTTTTTTAACAATTCTTTACGTTTTTTTTCATCATACATACAATATTCTTTAAGATTTTTTCATTGTAATCTTTTACATATATTTCTAACCTTTTCAATCTTTTTAAGTCATTTTTAATCTTTATTTTTTTGAGCATTTCTCAATTTTTTTTCTTCTCATTTTTGATGATTTTAAAAATAAGAATTTAAAAA